TAACGGGATACTTGCCAATGTGTTCTGAATTCCACAACAGTCCCAGGCGAACAGAAGAAATTGTGGTGATGTTCATGACTTTTTGAACAGAAGGTGACATTTAGACCCATAGGCATATGAACTGATTTCAGGGTAAACCGGGGCATACATTAGTTAGATATATCCATATTGTAACGCTAAACCATAATGTGGTTGTTTGGATTTAGCTTAATGTGTTTTTCTATAAATTTTGATTTATGGCTTAGTGTGTTCTCGAGCCACTCAGCTGTGGTTTATCGCAAACACAATGATCAAGCAAATCATGAGAACAAGATGTGTGTCTCAAGCTGCTGGACTGATACATACATTGCCCTTTCCCCTGCCTCACTTAGTCTTGCTCACTTGACATAGGAGAAAACAAATATGAATGAGCACTTTGAGAATTAAAAGAGAGGCTCCTTTTTTATCTCTTGGCAACAAAATAAAAGTACCACTGCCACTTCAGCCACCAAGCCACATACAAGAACTCTGAAAAAGGCAACTTCGTGCTGGGTTAATTCCAGCAGGTTGCCAAACCCTGGCTGCAACTTTCCATTATCTGTTTCTAAATACCTTCTCCAAACATGTGGCAAGTGAAAATGCCATAGGCTGGTTGTGCTGACAGCACTGTGGTAAAAAAAATTTTTTTTTTAAAATCCATAAATAAATAAGCAACCCTGAGAGTTTCCTTCGGCATCAAAAGACAGGACGGACGGCACCCTCTCAAAGATGCTGTGAACATGGAATTATAATTCCTACCCTGAGCCCTGCTCCCTGCTATGCAGTTCCCTTGAGCTTCAATATCCCATTTGACCAAATAACTAGGAAAGGCCATAACCTGAATGTCTCTATGCATTGTATATATCCTGCTGTTGCACTGTTTGTTGCTTCCTTCCCGCCAATTTGCTGTGAAAGATATCCCATCGACAGCCAGCTGAAGCCCCAAAGTTGCAACTGGACAAATTAGAAATCTAAATTTTTTAATCCACGCCAATGCCATTATTGCAATACTGTACTACTGCTAAAATAAAAACAAAAACCTTTTAATCATAAGTTCAATAAAAGGCAAAGCTGCTTAAAATGGGAAGATCCAGTTCTCACTATTAGTGTTTGTTCTGATCTTTCGTAAATATCTACAAAGCATACACTACCCTCCTCAGCCTCTGGTGTGACGATCACCAGGTGATCCACCGTAGTCTTCCCATATTCATCAGCCAAAACTGGTATACTACCTGAGCCCCTCACCTCCCCATGTCCACCAAAAGTCAGCTGGCCAGATCAGAGCCACTCACTGCCTCAGCCTGCCGTCTCCCTGCATTCACTGCCAGTCAGGTGGCCAAATAAAAGCCCATTCACCAACTCAGCCCCACATCCCTGCATTTACCACCAATCAGCTGTTCACCTCCTCAATATCCACCACCCTATGTTCCCTGCCAGTCTGCTGGTGCCCAGTAATCAATCAGTGGCTGAAACCTGGTTCACTGAAGCATGCAAAGGTGAACTCCCAAGGTCCTGAAATCAGAAACAGGAAGGGGTTGTTTATTTAATTGTATGATGCTGGCACTTTCAAAATATTTATTTAGTTGTCCAGGTCCACAAATACGGAAAGTTGAAGAAACACTAGTTTAAATGAATAGGAGTAACTGATTAAATTGTTATTGTTGTTTATTATCCCAAATTTACTGTGGATTTTAACCAAAGTATATATTTTAAAATTATTCTTTCTGCTTCCTTAAATCTTCAGTCGTGCTTACAGGTGAAACAAAGGATTCAGCAAATGAGTCTGTATGGAAATATTGCAGTCTCATGCAAACCAACTCCGGAACAAGCTCCACCAGATTCAGTTAAGCTTATTCTCAGCTAAGTGTGTATAGAACTGTATCGTAAGACTGTATTAGATATAGCAAATCGTGGTTGGCTCTTTTCTCTGAATCACGCTGGTTTACAAATCATAGCTTGCAAGAGGCTACCAAGTTCAGTTATTCAGCCACAGTTAAATCTGTTTTGAGGCCACAGTCTGTCAGAATTCACAGTAAAAGCCAGTCTTAAAAATATCCAAAGATCAGAACAAGGATGAGAAAGCAGACAAACTATGGAAAAAATCCAAAATGAATCCTATATTAATGGCAGGGTTCAGTGTAATATTCACCACTTCCATTTTTAAGATTACCATCATCCCCCACACCAAGACTTGACATTACTAGCAGAATCGTAGTAACTTTAGGAATCAGCATATATGAATTTTACCCTAAATTAGCCTCCTGCTTCGATTATATATATGCACATGTATGTGTATGTATAAATAAAGAAGAAAATAAATGATAACAATGTCAACTTTAACAACTCACATCACCTAAACTACAACCACAAATACAAAACATCAATCTAATTCAAAATCAGAGTCATAAATCATAGAGTTGGAGGGGACCTAAGAGGTCATCAAGTCCAATCTTCTGCAAACTGCAGAATTCACTACCCCACTGTTTCTTAAATTTTTTTCTCTCAGGATCCCTTCCCACTTTTAAAAATTATGGAGGATCCCCAAAGAGCTGTTGTTTGTATAGATTATATTTATCAATATTTACCATATTAAAAATTAAAATGGATGCATTCGCTGCCGCTTCCACTTCTCACAATTGTTTGATGGGATTTTAATATTGTATTATTTTTCAACATAGGCTGGCAAATAATTCTGATTTTGAGGACCTCTGAGAGGGTCTTGGGGGACCCCATAGGTCCTAGGACCTCACTTTAAGAAACACTGAACTACAGCATTCCCAATAGA